GAAGTTCAAAATAGTTTGAAGATTATCATGCTCATTTTTTAAATCCTCAAGCTCTTGCTCAGCCTTAATTAAATCATTTTCATACCATGACAGCTTGTTTTTAAGCTTTGAATTTAAAGCATCTAATTTCACAGCCTCTTTGTGAATTTGAATGAAAGCTTCTTGAAGTTGATCATAGTCTGGATTAGATTCAAGGTCAGAATCACTTACTATTGTGTCTTGATCAGCTCCAACCATCAAACACAGATTTTTCTCTTCAAATTCAGATTCATCACTTGTTGTGCTTGAGTCATTGTCTTCCCAAGCAATGTAGGCTCTCTTTCCTTTAAGAGGTTTGGACATTCAGCTTTTATATGACCTGGTTTCCCATACTTAAAACAATTGTAGGAGGATGTACTTGCTTCCTCTCTCTTGTTAGTCTTCTTATTGAACTTGTAGGGGGAATTCCTCTTCTTCCTTAGGAATTTTCTGAACTTCTTCACCAGCAAGTTGAAGTTCTCTGTTTCAGAATCTTTGGAGCTTGATTCTTCACACACCTCTTTGCCTTTGACTGATTTCAAGGCTCTTAGTGACATTCCCTTGCCCTTCTTGTCCTGTTGTTCATTTTCCTCAACTATATGCAGCTTTTGCTCATCCTCTCTCAGCTTTCCAAAGAGAGTAGCAAGGGTCAATGAAGTCAAGTCCTTTGATTCTTCTATGGCAGTAATATTGGCATGGGCTTTTTTTCCTCAAATAGCAAGTGACTTGCAAAGTGTCCCACATTTCTTTAGCAGATTTGCATTGAGAAATTCTAAAAAAATTCATCAATAGACAATGCAGATGTAATGATGTTCTTTGCTCTATAGTTATATTGGGCTTTTTTTTCTCTCATCATCACTCCACTCACTCTAATGTTTTTTTCTCTTCCCATCATCATCTTTGGTCATAGGGATATAGGGTCCATTTTCAATTCCATCCCACACAACAATGTCAATTACTTCGATGAAAATTCTCATCCTAATTTTCTAGTAGACATAGTTTTCACCATTGAAAACAGGAGGTCTATGAATAGACACACCCTCACCATAAGGTAGGTTGCTATTGGCCATTTTTGAAATCTTGAATAACACTCAAGAACCTTGCTCTAGATACCAATTGTTAGAAAAGAATAGCTCAATCCAAGAGTGGGGTGAATTGGATTCTATGAAACTTTAAAAATTTTCAGAGTTCTTAGGATCTTTATTTCAATTCAAACTTTTCTAATATAAATTTTCAAAGAAGTTCCTTAAAGACTTGTTAATAAAAAATGAATCATATATGCTTTCTTGATTAATCTTTAATAAAATTCAAAGTTAAGAGCAATCAATATGCAATACTTTGATTAAGTTTAAAACAATGTTGTGCATACAAACATATTAATCAAGAATACTCAAAGTAAACGATAAGGGTAAGAGAAGATTGCACAAGTCTTTTATCCTGGTTCAGCCACTCCACATGTGACCTACATCCATTCCTCAATCATAACCTGATCGAGATTTGTTCCACTGTCTTAATGAAGAAGTTTTACAAGCATACCACACATGCATACACTCTTACATTCAAGATAATCACTTTCTAGACCCTAACAAAGAACCCCTTGTAGAAACCCACTACAATAATTCCTTACCACTTGAGAAGCAAATCTTAATCTTTCTCTTTTCAAGAATGTGATGATGATGATGTTCTTTTCTCAAAACATTTCAAAAATGTTTTACTTCTTGGTTTCACAAACAAAACACTCCAAGAAGGTCACAAAGACTTCACAATAACATTTTTCCCCTTTTGATTCTATGTTCTATCTTTTTGTTCTCTTGTTTTGAAGTTTCAAAATGTGAAAACTATTTATAACATTTTCAGAACCAGATAATTGATTATTTTAAAGGATAATCGATTATTTTGTTCTTCATGATTTCTGGAAATCAACCAAGAACAAATTAATCGATTATTTTGCAGGATAATCGATTATTCCAAAGAGTGATTCCTGGGATAATCGATTATTTCATAATAATCGATTATTGCAACAAGGCATCCTTTTTAGTTGTTGCTGGAATAATCGATTATATTTAATGATAATCGATTATTTTGAGTCAGTTTTCAAAAACACTATTTTATGTCTCAAAATAACTTCTCAAGTTTCTAACTCATCATCATACTCACTCTTAATCAGATAAGATAAAGATTAGCTCATGCACAAAGCACACACATGAAAAATAAGCTCAACAAAACATTACAATTTATGAGCTACTCCTATTACACAACATAATAGCCACATTTTCTTCTTAACTTTGTTTTTGACTTGTTGATGTCCTTGGTCAGCTTTGATCCATGCTTGTTATCATCAAAACCTTCATTCTCCAGATTCTCCATATGTGAGTTGATTCAACCACTATGAATCTCAACACAGACTAAAAAGCTTATTTTTGGAGGATTGAAGTTGAAGAGTCAAGCTTGGAGGATATTTCTTCTTTTTCTTCTTCTCAGATTCTTGGCATTTTAGAGCCAATCTTCAGGTGAGGGAAGCTAGAATGTAGATTATTTAATTTCAGGAGAGTTAGGGAAGCTTTATGCATGGTGTTCTTTTGTTGAAATAATTGAGTTGTTTGGTGCTTAAGTTGATTTATGTTGTTTATATTATGTAAGTTGACATGATAGATGAATTTTAAATATGTTGTATATTGCTGAAGTTGTTTATAAAATTGTGAAGTTGCATTAAGTTGATATTTTAATGACTATAGTTGTTTAATTAAGTTGTTTGCATGTTGTTAAAAATTATTAAAGTTGCATAGTTGTATAATTGAATAAGAAGTTGTCAAGATGGTATATAATGCCTATTGTTGTATTGTTGTAAGTTGTCTATCGTTGAAAGATGTCTATTGTTATAAAGTTGTTAAGATGTCTATTGCTGTAAAGTTGTTAAGACGTCTATTGCTGTAAATTTGTTAAGATGTCTATTGCTGTAAAGTTGTTAAGATGTCTATTGTTGTAAAGTTGTTAAGATGTCTATTGATGTAAAGTTATAAAGCTGCCTATTGTTGTAAAGTTGGAAAGTTGGGGACATATGGTGAAGATATATGTCCTATGTTGAGATACATAGTACTAAGGTGATAAGTTGAAAGTTGTTTTAAAGTTGAATCCTTTAGTACTGTGTGGGCGACATGGAAGTAGTCGATCCATGTCATGGTTGAATGACCAATTTGAGTAAGGTATCTAGTTAGAGATGTAGTCTTTGACTAGGTACTGGAGGGTGCCTAGTACTTGGAGGACAGTGGATGGGCTAACTCCATATGTGGATTGGTGATGCTAGCCAAGGCCGTGGTAGGCTCACACCCAAACCCTTCTGTCCTGACAGTAGTACTGGACCTCCGAGTCGAAGTGGCACACCTGAGCAATTTCTTATTGTTGTTTATACCTGGTTCTCTTTGGAGTTCCTAACGCTGTTCTATACCTGACTTGGTTAAGATAGGTCAAACGCTAGATTCGGTAGGGTTTATGCTACCTAGACTGCTCAACCTCAGTTGTTGGAGATCTCCCAGTTGTATATGCGTGACAACGCATTAAATATTAAGTTGTATATTGTTGTTGTTGTTGTATTAAAGTTGCTTCTAAGTTGTATGAATGAGTTATGTTTTTATGTTGAACTGTATGGTCGTTTGTGATGATGATTGAATGAATTAGTAGTATATTATTTTCCCTATACTTGTATGGTTGATTATTGAACTCTAGCTTACCCTTCTGTTTCCATGTGGATGGACTACTATGATCATACTGTGTATGGGAGCAGATCAGGGCTTGGTTGGAGCTGTTGGCTGAGTCTGCTGCTAGAAGTGGGAATTTTTTGGTTCCTAGTGTTAGAATTACCATCTTGGGTAATAGTTTTGTGCTTGACTAGCACTAGGAGATAGTAGTTTTGGATAACTATATAAATACCTAATATTTAAAAACCTAATTATTCTTATATATTTTTCCATGTTTTTGTATTTATAAGTTATCGAATTTTATTATTTATCTTAGGTCACTGTTTTTAGTACGATTCCACTAATTGTAGGGACCACGGCGGGTCGTTACACTTTTATGGTATCAGAGCCGGTCGAGTCCTTTGGATACTCTGTGGGAAGTAATCCTTCTAGGTTTCTGTTGTGTCATATCTCTGATATGTGTTAGTCTTTGGTGATTTGTGGAGGTATTATGTTACTAAAAGGATGTTTGAATTCTTGTAGTATGGTGAGACCCTAGTATGATCAGATAGCCAGGGCCATGGAGATGATGACCATGGCGATGCAGCAACAGACTACACAATTATCTAGGGCAGATGCAGAGAAAGCTGCAACAGGACCTACTGGGTCTCATATGAGCAGGGACCTGGCTGAATTTAGGAAGTGTAGTCCTCCTCAGTTTACGGGTGATGCAGATTCGGAGGTGGTTGACCACTGGATTTGCGAGTTGGAAAAGATATTCTCAGTTTTGGCAGATGCTGATTGATCGTGGAGTGGTTGTGGACTGGGTGTGCTTCAAGAGGGTTTTCCTCGAGAAGTACTTCCCAGAAAGTGTCAAGCATGCTCGAGAGGTAGATTTTATGAGATTGTAGCAGGGTGAGATGTTAGTGACCGAGTATGCCATGAGATTCGAGCATTTGGCACGCTTCTACACCCAAGCCACCTCTGAGGCTTGGAAGTGTAGGAAGTTTGCTAAATGCTTGAAGTATGATTTGAGGAGAGTGGTGGTGCCTATGGCCATCACGGAGTTTCCATCCTTGGTAGAGAAGGCGAACGTTGTAGAGCGACTAGAGAGCGTCGGAAAGCCGGCAAAGACTGTTGGTAGGCCAGTTTGGTCCAAGAGTAGTGGTGGTTCTCAGAGGAAGCCTTATGACAGGCCTCAACAACAAGGGGGTTCTGCCACAAGGAAGTCTACTAAGAGAGCTAGGAGTGGAGCTCAGGCTATTAGATGTTATCGGTGTGGTGGGCCATATATTATCAGAGACTGCACTTCTGCACAACCAAGGTGTTTTAGGTGCAGCAAGTTTGGCCATCTGGCCAAGGATTGCCCAGTTGGGGCAAGTCAGTTTGGAGGTGCTCAAAGGATGGAGCGACCTAGGGCGGCAGGGAGAGTTTTTGCTTTGACAGGAGAGGAGGCTTCCACCTCACCAAACTTGGTGAAGGGGAAGGGTAAAGCTGCAGGTACAGAGGTTTCTATCCTGTTTGATTCTGGTGCTACACATTCATTTATATCTGTTGATTGTGTGGGGAGATTGGGTTTGTCGGTATCTGCATTGCATGTTGATTTGTCTGTGTCTACTCTGGCTTTAATTTCTATAATGATGTCGGAGATGTGTGTGAGATGCCTGATAGAGGTGTTTGGTAGGAGGTTCCGAGTGAGCCTGATTGTATTGCCTATGGTGGATATCGACATAATCTTAGGGATGAATTGGTTATCTACCCGTCACATCCTTATAGATTGTGCTCGGAGAGAGTTGGTATTTCCTTAGTTGGAGGATGAGGTGTTGGTATCAACGGGTCAGGGTGAGCAGTTGATGAGGGATGGAGCTGAGTGCTTCATGTTGTTTGCCGCTTTGAGTATTGAGACAGAGAGGGTTATCACTAGGATTAAGATTGTTAGTGAGTTTCCTGAGGTATTTCTAGATGATGTGCCAGGATTGCCACCTATACGTGATGTTGAGTTTAGCATTGATGTGGTACCAGGCACAGGACCGGTATCAGTGGCTCCTTATAGGATGGCTCTAGTTGAGTTGATAGAGCTAAAGAGACAAATTGAGGATTTGTTAGAGAAACAGATGGTGAGGCCCAGTGTTTCTCCTTAGGGTGCTCCGGTATTGTTAGTGAAGAAGAAGGATGGTGGGGCCTGTTTATGTGTTGATTATCGACAACTGAATAAGTTGACGATAAAGAATAAGTATCCACTTCCGAGGATTGATGATTTGATGGATCAGTTGAGGGGAGCTTCGATATTTTTGAAGATTGATTTGAGATCCGGATACCATCAGATCAGGGTAAAGGAAACTGACATACCGAAGACTGCTTTCAAGACTAGGTATGGTCACTATGAGTATGTAGTGATGCCTTTTGGTGTCACTAATGCTCTGGCAGTGTTCATGGATTACATAAACAGGATTTTTAGACCATTCTTGGACAGATTTGTGGTGGTCTTCATTGATGATATGTTGGTGTATTCTAGATCATTGGAGGATCACCGTGAGCATTTGAGGTTGGTTTTGGAGGTGTTGAGGGATAGACAATTGTATGCCAAACTGTCCAAGTGTGAGTTTTGGTTATCGAAGGTGAGATTTTTGGGGCATGTGATATCAGCAGACAAGATTGCAGTAGATCCAGCCAAGGTGGAGGCTGTGATTCAGTGGGAGCATCCGAGGACTGCTCCTTTCTCTCTCTAATTTCTCTGTATGATTCTTCTTCTCCTCTAGACCACTAATGTCTTTTGTCTTCTCTTGAATTTCATACTAGAAAGCTTGTTTTTGGAGGATTGAAGTTCAAGAGTCAAGCTTGGAGGATATTTCTTCTTTTTCTTCTTCTATTGCTGTCTATTGCTATAAAGTTGTTAAGATGTCTATTGTTGTAAAGTTGTTAAGATGTCTATTGTTGTAAAGTTTTTAAGATGTCTATTGCTGTAAAGTTGTTAAGATGTCTATTGTTGTAAAGTTGTTAAGATGTCTATTGCTGTAAAGTTATAAAGTTGCCTATTGTTGTAAAGTTGGAAAGTTGGGGACATATGGTGAAGATATATGTCCTATGTTGAGATACATAGTACTAAGGTGATAAGTTGAAAGTTGTTTTAAAGTTGAATCCCTTAGTACTGTGTGGGCGGCATGGAAGTAGTCGACCCATGTCATGGTTGAATGACCAATTTGAGTAAGGTATCTAGTTAGAGATGTAGTCTTTGACTAGGTACTAGAGGGTACGTGGTACTTGGAGGACAGTGGGTGGGCTAACTCCATATGTGAATTGGTGATGCTAGCCAAGGCTGTGGTAGGCTCATACCCAAACCCTTCTCTCCTGACAGTAGTACTGGAGCTCCGAGTCTAAGTGGCACACCTGAGAAATCGCCTATTGTTGTCTATACCTGGTTCTCTTCGAAGTTCCTAACGCTGTTCTATACCTAATCTGGTTAAGATAGGTCAAACACTGGATTCGGTAGGGTTTATGCCACCTAGACTGCTAAACCTCAGTTGTTGGAGATCTCCCAGTTGTATATGCGTGACGACGCATTAAATATTAAGTTGTATATTGTTGTTGTTGTTGTATTAAAGTTGCTTCTAAGTTGTATGAATGAGTTGTGTTTTTATGTTGAACTGTATGGTCGTTTGTGATGATGATTGAATGAATGAGTAGTATAGTATTTTCCCTATACTTGTATGGTTGATTATTGAACTCTAGCTTACCCTTCTGTTTCCATGTGGATGGACTACTATGATAATACTGTGTATGGGAGCAGATCAGGGCTAGGTTGGAGCTGTTGGCTGAGTCAGCTGCTGGAAGTGGGATTTTTTTGGTTCCTAGTGTCAGAGTTACCATCTTGGGTAATAGTTTTGTGCTTGACCGGCACTAGGAGATAGTAGTTTTGGATAACTGTATAAATACCTAATATTTAAAAACTTAATTATTCTTATATTTTTCCATGCATTTGTATTTATAAGTTATCCAATTTTATTATTTATCTTAGTTCACTATTTTTAGTACGATTCCACTAAGTGTAGGGACCACGGCGAGTCGTTCCAATTCAAAAATCGGAACGGGCTGTTCCAAGCCACAAAAAAGGCCTAAAAACCTAGTCTGGAATGGGTCGTTCGAAAACCAGAACGGGTCGTTCCAAACCAGGTAGAAGGCCTAAAAATCTTAGGCTAGAACGGGCCGTTCCTAAATCAGAACAAGCCGTTCCAAACCATTCAAAAGGGCTAAAAGTTTAGGATGGAACGGGCCGTTCCAAAATCGGGATGGGCCGTTCCAAACTAGGCAAAAGGCCAAAAAAATCTTAGGCTGGAATGGGCCATTCCTAAACCAGAACGAGCCGTTCCAAACCGCTAAATAGCCTAAAAACCTAATTTGTAACAAGCCGTTCTAGCAATGCATTTTTGTGTTAATCTCAACCCCAGAACGGGTCGTTCTGGTTTCAGAACAAGTCGTTCCAGGGTAAGAATTTAACACATAACGTTCAGATCCATAATAGACCGTTCCAAATTTGGAACGGGCCGTTCTGGCACCATTCTGATGCCTATAAATAGACAACTTGCGCACAGTTCTCAAGGCCTCAAAAATTTCGTCCAAGACTCCTTAGAGCTCGAAATTTTTCTCTCTCTCTCTCTCCTATTGTATTTCTTAAGTTTTGTGAGGCATATTATAGTGTGAAAAGTTGCCGCAAAGCACCTAAAATCTCCATAGTTGAAGATCTAGTAAAGCTTGCTACGAGGTATTACTCATCAATCTCTTGTTCTATCTTTCTCTTCTTTTATTTCATATATTGCTATAATAAGTGCAATTATGTAGATATCTTAGGGTTCATCGTGTAATTTAATTTTCATATAAATAATCATTAATAAAGGGGATTAAATATTTAAACTATTAATTCTTATTATGTTATCTTCATCATAGGGTACCGATTTAGGGCGTTGTAGGGGTGCTTAATACCTTCCCTACGCGTAACCAACCCCCGAACCCAGTTCTGGTTATCAAGGCCATCATTGGACTTTTAAAAACCTTCTCTTTTTCCAATGTTTTGTCTCGTGCACAGTGCAAAGGGACTGAAATTGGACCGAAAAAATGACAACTTTTAACTTTTTTTCTAGTATTAGTTCAGATACTTTCTCTCCTTTTTCTCTTTTTGTATTTCTTGACTATTGTGAGGATTATTTGTAATGTTAAGGGTTGCCAAAAAATGCATGGACCCCACATTTGAAAAGGATTCTATAAAGCTTGCTTCGAAGGTACTTTTATTAAATTCTTTCCTTTTTCTTTACAACTTTATTCATATAATAATCATTATAAACGAATAGCAATCATGTAGACATATTGTTCTAAACACTCAGGGGTTTAAATCCCCCATCTTCACATGTAGTGATAATAAGTAACATGTAAATAACAAAAAGGGGAATAAGATATTCAAATTATTATTCTTTATTATGCTAATTTCATCATAGGGTACCGATTTAGGCTGTTGTAGGGTGTCTAATACCTTTCCTACACGTAAACGATTCCGAACCCAATTCTGGCTATAAAGGCTATAATTGATTTTTCAAAAAACATTTTTTTTTTTTTATGTTTTGAGTAAAACATCGGTGACGACTCCTTCGAACCTTTTTTCAAAAACCATTGATTAGAGGTCCAAACCATCTATGGAAAAGATCAAAATTTTTTGGGTTCCGACACAAGGTGATGGAGGACCATCCTTGAGACATCACATAGGGCCTATCACAAGGTCCATGACTAAGAGAGTAGAGGAAGATGAAAAACACACCACACCAAAAGCCATGTTCATCATGTGTGTGGATTTTGGGCCCTCTCATTAGTTCATTGCTTTCCTTTCCTATTTTTTCCTTGTATTTTGGGGTACATTATATATTAGGATTTTATTTTGTATTTTTATTTAGCCTTCGTATTATGGGGCAACATTAGTCTTAGGATTTATTTTGGGACTTAAACCTTGACTTGTGAGGTCAAAAGTCCATTTCTCTCTTTTTCTAAGTCTAAGGGTACTTTAGTCTTTTTAGAGAGATGAGAGCCATTTCATTTGGGCCGCATCTAGGGTTCATTTAGGGTGAATTTGGGCTTGAAATTTTTGGCAAAATGTTCCCAAGAAACCCTAGATGCTCTCCTCTCTTTATAAGTACTATAGGTCCTCAACCTTGTACCCACTTTAGAATATATGCATTTTGAGTGAGCCTTGTTGCCTCAAAAAGCCTTCCTTAGTCTCCTAGGTCCTCACGACCATTCTCCTCCCCTCTCCACGCTAAAGTGAGGTTGAGTTCCCTTGAGTGGCCTCCACCATCCCTTGGTGGAGAGAGCTAGCCAAGAGCACCAAAAACACCTTCCACCTTTCCTTCTCTATTGTTGCCCACCTTCACCCTCACCCTTCCAATATTTTTTTTCACCACCCTTGAGGAAACATCTAGCCATCATCCTTCTTCCTAGTCCGTGGAGACAAAGGAAGCTCCTCCTTGGAAGCCAAAGAACACACCATGGAAGGAAGGAGCCCATCACAAGGAAAAAAAGAATAACATAAGGATATATACTAGTTCACTTTCCTTGGAAAGCTATATCCAATATTCTACAATCCACTATAAGCAATAGCGTAATTAAGGACCAAATTAATTGAATTAACCCTAGATCATAGGCCTACCTATTACCATCAATAGAAACCATTGGCTACAAATCTATTTAGAGAATCGTACTCTAACCTATAAGCTCAATAAACTTTATCTTGAGTTATACCCTTCTTACAAGGAATTATACAACCTCTTAAATAAAATCTACGCGATTTTCACAAAAAAAAAGTAAAAAAGAAATGATACGACATGTTTGAAGCTTGTTGTGTTTAACTTTCACACTTCTTAAAAATCAAGAACAATGTTCATACATTATGAAATTCTTAAAAAATTTGGTTGTTGATTTCATAGTGTTTCTTGATGATTAGCATATGTGGTTAACCTTTTCTTGCACTTAGAGATAGAATACATAATTTTTGACGTTTTGAGAAAATCTCACATGCGCCCTCTCAAATTCTAAACACTTTTTTGAAGAAAAAAAAGACTTAAGGGTTTGTGTAGAAAAACATTTCATAACTAATGTAATCAATTAAATTGATCATGTAATCATTTACATTGGTCATGGTTGTATTGTTGAATTTCCAAAAATGTGCACATGTGTTGTTGTAATCAATTACATTTGTTTGTAATTGATGACATCTTGTAATTGATCCCAAAAGATGATTTTGCTTTTCTAACTTTCACATATACATTTATGTAATTGGTTACATCTTAAATGTAATCGGTTACATATTCGGTATGAAAAACTTAACTCATTTGAAACTATGTTACAATTTTATAAACCTTTCTCACAAAACACCTAGACTCCTATGTAATTGATGAAATCACAATGTAATAAGTTAAATCAAAGTGATTTGATTTTACAAAGAATTATATATTCAAGTACATTGTTTATGTAATCAATTACATCTAAATGTTTTAAACATCAAGTACTTGTTCAATCAGTTACAATGTTTTGGTAATCAATCACTTCAGAGATTTCTTCTGTTCCTTTTTGAAAAACTTAAAGCTATTTTTAAATTGATTGTCATTTGATTGATTTTACTTATGAAAGTATTGTTTTTCTTTTTATCTCATTCATTTTTAAAGTTCATGTTTTGGAAATCTCTTTGGTTAAGGTGGACTTACTTCACCTGACTCTAGATAACTAATACCTACGCACATATAGCTAAATTTTTACAACATGATCTCATCTTGAAACAATCTTGACTTGAAGTTTGACTCTTTGATCTCTTCATGTGAGAAGCCATCACCTTTTTGCGTTATCTTCAAACATCTTCAACCTCTTCTTTTAAATGTTACATATCTACCACAAGTAACACATAATCTAGATTTAAATTTATGTATTGATTAATTTTGAATTGAATTAGGTTGATTGAGAATTCATATTTGTTATGAACGATGAAAATTACACTATAGGAATTGAAACATTGAACCAGTAGTTGATAATATTGAAATTATGTGTTGGGATTCCATCTTCTATTTTTTTTTTTGTATTGTTATTGACAATCTTTTCGAAATAAAATCCCCAAACCTAACTCAGTTGCATGAAAAAACTGAAAATAGAATGAACTTGTGACCTAGGTTAGTTCTCTGTATTACAAATTTTTTGACCAACCTTGTTTTGTTTGATAGTGACTCGACAACGCTATTAGTGACCCACAACTTGGTCCAACATAGGGACCCATATTCATTGAGTGACATGTCGTTGCTAAGTGAATTAACATGGTTTATCACAAAGACCAAGTCTTGTTTAACAAACCTATTTTGCTTGGTTGTGTGTCATCGTGTTAGCAGTTTTGCTAAACAAGATCATCCTTGTTGAGTGAAACCTACTTTTGAGCATTGGGTATTCAATCTATGAAGGCTCACTGGCCGAGGATTGTCTTACTGAGTGAAAAGCCTCTACATCTTTGACATGAAGGGCTATCCAAGCCTCCAACACCTCTTGCAATCCATCAAGCATAAACTACAATATCAATCTTTCAAATCCATCATAAAACACCACGTGCAACAACACTTTTGGCACAAAATCAACATCTCAAGATATATACCGAAAACCCCCAAACCCCACATATGGAAGACACCAAATTTACAACATTCTAACCACCAATTTGGCCACATAAAACATCAATCTTGTTCACATAATATATATGAACAAAAATCAAACTTCCTTTACCTTAATCAAGATCCCAAGGAAGAAGAATAGAGGTAAAAAGAAAACTCCCCTTGAAAGCCCCAAAGCTAAGATCCCACGACTTCAATCTTCAAGATGTTAAATCTAATGATA